CCGCTCGGTCCCGGCCCACGGGCCTCACTGCGCAGCCGCGGAAGGCTGTGGGGCGGAACCTAGGAGACGGCGGGACCGGACCTGTGGGCGGTGCCGGCCCCGGCGTAGCTCTCACCTGGCAGCTAGACTCTCGGGTGGGACCGAGCGGAGCCAGCTGGCGGGGTGGGGCGGGGCCTGGCAGCGGCGTGATCCAAAGCCCAAAAAGGCGTGGGGCGGAGCCCGCCGGGCGGCGGGCGGAGCCTGGTAGCGCTCACCTGGAGGCGGAGGGGGCGGGGCCCAGCTCGCAAAGCTCCAGGTGCGCGCTGGGAAGGGTGGCGTTTAAGGCTCCTGGAGCCGGGGGTGGCGCGGCTAGTGCCGGAAGTCGGGCATCCTGGGAAGTTTCGTTTCACGCAGTGGGAGGACTTTTCCTGAAAGACGGGCCCTCCTTGTCCTTGGGCTTAAATAGCGAGTCGTCCTGTGGCGCGCTCACTGCAGCGATGCATCCAGCAGGGCACGATGGCGAAGGTTTCCGCGGGCCCGCTGGAGCTCCAAGCCCCTGCTCCCCGGCGAGGTAGCGTGCCAGTCCCCAGCCGGGTCGGCTTCCAGCACGCGTGACCCCTGCCGCCGCACTGCGCCACCCCCTACCGACCGTTGTCTGCCCACTCCCCGCCCTACCTGGGGAGTGGGGGTGGATTCTACAAGGCCGGCGCTGGTGCCCACGTCAGTCACAACCAAGAAGTTGCCAAGCTTTAAGAGCTCGGGAGCCGGGCGTTCCCACCATCATGCCTGAATCTGACTTGTTTCACCCAAAATTCCCACTGAATGATGGGTTCGTTGTTTGCAGAGAAGGGGAGAGAAAGGAAGCTAAGAAAAGTTCACTGACCTCCCGTCTATGTCTACCATCCCTCCTCCTCAGCCCCATGTCCAAGCAGGTTACTGGGCCGACCAGGTTCCTCGAGTGCAGAAGCGCAGCAAAGTGTCAGTCAGGTCAGATTTCAGAATATGTTATTGGAAAGCACTGTGTACACTCACTCAGCTGCTACGTAATTGTTAGCTATCAGCGCTCTTTGGGATTTTGGTGGCACTTTTTCATCCAAATAAGATTGATGCGTGTCTGTTCAAACAAATTAATGTGCTCATCTCAAATAACATAGTTGGCAGGCCCCTGGCAGTTCATAGGCCAATCAAAGGGCCAGTGTAAATAACATGTAAAGTGAAGCTGACTTTTCTGAATAGTGAGCATTGAAAAATTGTTGCTTCCATTTCTGGCAAGATTAGCACAGCAGGAACAAGGGTACCCCCAAAAAGAAGGCAACAGGGTGGATACAAAAGCTTAGGTCAGACCATGGGCTTCTCCACCTCCCATTATGACATTTGGGGGAGGATTGTGCTGTGCACACAAACATAGGATATTGGCAGCATCCCTGGCCTCTACCCACTGGATGCCAGTAGCAAGCCCCCTCCCCCAACAGTATGACAATGGAAACTTTCCAAAGCCAAAAGTACTGTGCATCCCCTCCCTGACAGAGGGGTTTACATTCTGGCCCAGCAATCCTGGGCCACACTGCCAGGACAGTGACCACCCTTGCTGTAGTTATCTCTGCTGCTGCCCAAGCATTGCTCATTAGCTTGCTGAATGGCAGAAACGGTTTTTACCTCAGTCATAACAAAACACCTTCACCAGACTCTTCAAAAAGTCTATGCCAAGAAATGTACAGAAAAATGTATTGTTACAGGGTACCCCATTGTGAACTGGGCCGCCTCTCTGTGGGGCCTCACCTGCGCACTTAAAATTCAGTTGTACTGCAGGCACACACAGCAGGGTCAAAATGGATTTATTTACAAAAGGGGAAAAGAACAGGAAACAACAACTGGAATACCTTACCCGCTAAGCCAACTTGGAGCTTTGGTAACAAACTAACTGAAAACCCCGAGTCATGCAGTCCAGAGAGCCATTTCCCCAGCGAGAGCCAGAGACACCATGGCACCTTATTTATCCCCCAATGTCCCAGAATGCCTGCTTAGTTCTGCCCTTGGGTCCTCGCATTTCTCTCCCTGGTACTGCTGGGAGTTGTAGTTTCCAATCACTGGAATAGTGGGTAGAGTCCAGAAAGCCAGAGTAGGGGATAGAGTCCACAGGACTCTGCAGAGTTCCTTTAGGACATCCTTCCCCTTAACAGTATGGAATTAGTCCAGAGAAAGAGACCACACCAAATCCAGGCATGACCCTTGATCCTACACCAGGTTAAAAGATAGCATATTAGGGGGAATCATGGTTCTCAAGATGGTAATCCAGACAACTCCTATCTTTTCATCACCTCCCCAATCTCTCTCCAGGGTTGGCTTCACCAGGAGGGTATGAGTCCTCTACCTTTCCAATGGAAAGGAGCTTCCCAGGAAGCCCAGGTAGACCTCACATTACCGCGTCTTCCACTGAAGGGCCAGGAAGCTGGCCTGTCCCTGATCTCTCTCTTCGAAAGTCATGGGGGTAAAAAGGCCAAGGAGGACCACTTTCCTCTCTTTACACACATTTTTTTGACACCATAACTTGCTCCTGGAAGCTCAAAAAAAAAAACATAAAATAGGACACTATCCCTCTTCTCAAATAATTGATACTGTCATAACACTGCTAAATGAGGAGAATAAGTGACAAGGAAAGCCTTTTCTCTCCCCAAAATGACCCTCTTAGTCACAAGTTCCTATGGAAGGGGTCCTGCCCACACCTCATGTTTACAGTTCATAGAGGGAACATCACACAGTGCTAAGGAAATGTTTCCTGAAGAAGGATTCTAGGAGACAAACAGCAAGAGTCAAGTTCAGCCATTGGCTTAACTACCTAAGCTTCTTCAAGGTCATTTTCTCTGTAACAGAAAAAAAATAAATACATTTAAAAGTCACCTCCTCAGATTAGTCTTCCCTGACCACCTATCAAGTACATCACCCTTTCTGCTCTTTTACTTACATCCAGTTTTACTTCATAGCACTGATTCTCTTCTGTAATTACACAGAATTGACTTTTTTTGCTGGTGCATCATGTGTTCCCCAGCCTATTATAATGTCCAGAGGGCAGAGACAAGACTGTTTTCTTCATCACTATACCTACTAGAGGAAGTAAAGTCTCATATGAGCTATTATGTAGGAATAACTGCATGACTTGTTCTAGAAGAATAAGCCACAAAGCTCTCTCCTTTTTTAAAAAAAAAAAAAAAGATTTATTTATTTTTGCATGCGGAATTGGGGTACAGGCCAGCGGTACGGGGAGGGCCTGGTGAAAGGATTCACTAGAGACAGAGTAGGGAGCAGAACAGGTAGATGTACTGAATTACACTGCTGAGGGGAACATCCAGTGGGTCTAGAGAGGTCTGCCATACCATATGGGTCACCTCCCCGGCCAGAGATTGAACTCATGTTGCAGTGGCTGCTGTAGTGCTGTGACTTAACCCCTTGCACCACCAGGGAGGCCGCTCTTTCCATTGTTGCCCCGAAAGCCAAACTGAGAATATCTACTCACAGAGAAGTGTATTCAATGTGGCCACCAAGGAGTCCTCAGAATTGGCACCGTAAAGAAAATAGCTCCCCAAATGCCAGGAGCATTGTGGTTATTTAAAGAGGTGGGAGGAAAGTGAGAGGTGCAGAATGTGAAGGAAGTGGGAGGGGCTTTTGAGTTTCCAGATCCAGGGAGGTACGGGGCAGTCTAAGCATCACAAGTCAAGGTAGCTGTCTTTCTTGGTAGGCAATGTCTCCTGCAGTCAACCATCTGGCAACAATCAGCAGACGTTGGTTTGATGTTACTCTCAACCTCAAAGGAGCACAGAGATTTTTGTTAGGAATGTAGCAATCAATTTACCAAGTTCCCAGGAATGCAGCTGGAGAGAATGCATTAGTTGCAAATTAAAGGTTAATCACAGGAGGGAGAGTAGGGAAGAGTGAACAAAGAATGGTTAGAGCTTGACTTCCTCCCAATTTTTAGTCCAGGGAAGGAGCTCAGGCTGCAGGAAACCTAGGTGAACTTCTTACCACATACGGCTTGGGAAGTGCCCCAAATACCAGGATATTGGTAAATTTCATCTCTCCTTACCCGCTCTTACTGAGTTATGCCAGGGGTCAATATAACTGTGAGAAAGGGAGGGCCAGCAAGACAGTGGCAGGGTGAAACACATGCTTGCCTCCTCCATATACTCAACCTGATTGCAATAGAACAAACCCAAAAACCTCTGAAGGAAAGACACACAACCACAGCACACACTAGGAGAACCATCCAGGGAGCGGATAGGAAAAACTAAATGTACTATGTTTATAGTAAAATGGGGGCAATACATCCCATTGGAAAGATTGTGTACAGAACCCCCTTCAGTGGCTGACTCAGGGCACATGCCAATAGCGGAGACTGGGCACTACCCTGGGTACACACAAAGTTGGTGCCCAGGACAGAGTGTGCATTGTACTCTACCGCAGGGATGGGAGTGCAGGGTAAGACTTGCTACCTGTTGGTAGTGCAACAGGTTAAAGTGCAGCACCATGAAGCTGTGGCTGCTTCACTGCAATTTTGAACCCTGGCAAGGGAGGTGACTCATATGGCACAGCAGACCTCTCGTCTCCCCTGCTGCTCCCCTCAGCGGTGTATTTCAGTCAGTCTGCCTGTTCTGCTCCCCACTCTGCCTTTGGTGAATCCCCTCACCACTCCTGCTCTGACCAGTTCTGTATGCATAAATAAATAAATCTTTTTTTTTTAAAGATTTATTTATTCATACAGAACTGGGGTACAGGCCAGAGATGCGGATGGTGAGAGGATTCACCAGAGGCAGAGTGGGGAGCAGAACAGGCAGATGGTGGGAGCACACTGCTGAGGGGAGCAGCAGCGGGCCAGGAGAGGTCTGCCACGCCATGTCGTCACCCCCGAGGCAGGCAGGAATTGAACTCATGCGGAAGGGCCTAAGCTTCTCAGTGCTGTGCTTTAACCCGCTGTACCAACAGGGAGGGCCAAATAAATCTTTTAAAAAAAAAATTACAGGAGTATAATGGACCAGGCGAGAAAATAACAAAAATAATAAACAACCATAGACCAGAGACATTCTGTGGGGGTGGAGTGGGGAATGGGATCAAAAATGGGGGGGGGGGGGAGTGAAATGCACGGGACTATGGTGGTGTCACAGGGGTGATTTGGTGATGGGAAACCCGTGGGGATTACAATTGAGATGAAAAAAAAATGTGCAAAATGATGTAAAAATAAACTTTTTAATAAAAAAAAATGTTGAAGAAAAAAAAATTACTGACTTGAGCCTCAGATTTGCAATATAGAACAGATGTAGACTGAATTGGTGTGGAGGGTGGGAATGGTGGAGACAGGTCAGATCACCTGTGTCTCTTCACTACAGAGCCTGCTACTTGAAGCCAAAACTCAAAACCAGGATATTCAAAACACCTGCCATCACAACCCCACCTTTCTGAACCCCCACTTCTCTGACTAAAACAAAACAAATGGATACTTATAAACTGTTAAAGTGCCCAGGATATGGCTCTATACTGGAAAAGTAAAATAAATTAACTCCTGGTCTGTGACCCATTTTAACTACAACTTGTGTCCAGTGCTGCATTTAGTGTTCAGTAATGGCCCAGAGGTGGAAACTTTACACTACACTGTGGGGGACACTAAAATTAAGAAGCTGACCTGGAGGATAGGATAACTGTGGACCCACACCATACATCTCTGGTACCCAGAACACAGCAAGATGTTTGAATCCCTGACACTCACTAAACTGGTACCTTACTGCCACAGATTCTTTTAGAGCTGCTACCCCTCACTGGTTCTCTAATCACTTCAAGGTGCAAAGGTGAAAAGTGTAAAGTCATGCAACCTATAAAGCTAAAAATGAGACAGAAGAACATGCCACAAATGCTGGTGCA